TCATTTGAAGCCAACCCTCCATTTTGTGAAGAACTAATGGAGTCAACAGTCGATCATTTCGACCGACTGTTAGCCAACTCTCCCGAACCGCTCTCATTCATAGTGTTTGTGCCCGAGTGGAGAGATCCGGTGCCAAAAGTGATAACCAAACTGGAAAGCAGTAAATTCAAGCGCAAGCATCTGGTAATACCTGCCTTTGAACACGAGTACAGAAACGGTTGTCAACACGTGTGCGACAAAAACGATGTAAACGTGAAGTCAGCGCACGGGACGCTCGTTGTCTTCCTCCAGAACGACTCCGGTTTCCTCAAATGGGGTCCGACTCCTGAACGTCTCGACGAACTCGTCGACGCCTATAAGTGTGGCAGAGATAAGGACATACCGATCCTCTCGCCCCCTCCCACTCCTCAAAATAATCAAAAGAGTGAAACCGAAAAACTCATTAACTCTGAGACGAGTCATAAGGACGAGTCGATCGCTCTGACCGGCGCTGAATAAACGCATCATTACTTCATTCGCTTGATTTGTATTCAATACAAACCATCAGTTTTTAGTTCTCATGTATATAAATGACATTCACATTCATTTTAACTATAATTTTGAGTTTTCATCAATTTGTAAATATTTATCGCAAACTTCTTAAATTATTCGCAATAATTAGCAAACAATGAGTTTATTGTGAATGAAATATATTTTAAATGAAATCAATATATTATATTACACAATTGTTGTTACTGTAATAATTTTTAACTATAACTCGATTTTAATATAAACCTATTATAAAAGTCGAAATCTAATAAATAGATTGATTGTTATTAAAGATTTGATTGATTTAGAAAATTATTTGAGTTTTTTAATACTAGACCAATAGATATGGCATATGAATTGATTCAACTTTCCTTTTGGTAATTAGTATTTAAATTAATATAAAATAAGTATTGTTTGCAGGAAATACTAAGTTATAATAATTAATGATTATTATTATTCGTTTAATTAATAAAAATTATAAGCAATTGCAACAAATTGCAAAAACAAGTTTAACTGTAAGGTATCCTTCAGGTGAAGTACTCGTTAATTAAAGCGACATTAAATCCATTCGTTTTCGGAAATTGTTTTGTTATACAGTATTCACACAAAAGAGTGAGTATTTGCAAGTTTATTGAATCCACTTCTGGGATACATTTGATTGTTTGTGATAAAAAATTATTTATTTTCAATTAAATCGCTATTTTCATCGCACGGTAATTATATGTCCACTTAAATTCATTTACTATAGTAATCTGTGTTTCTAATAAATTTGAACACACTCGACAATATTATACGGGATCATAATATTATAGATTGAATCTACTGATTGATTGGTAGATTCTATAATGTATCAAGTACAGTATCAAGTTTTATAGGGTCGAGAATATTAGAGCAAATAGACAAGAATATAAGATACTATTTAGTAAATCAAATTGGTGTATTTGTCACACATTCACACAATTTATGATACAGAATATCAAAAAATGGTATCATAGGTAAACTTACCATATACTGTATGTATTCTAAGAATATTCTTACTTTTCTTGCCAAGCTAGTCTAATACCTTTAATCTGAAATGTGATGTAAATGTTAAAATTGGTAACTGAATGTTGCTATATTGAACATTAGTAACAAATTGTCCACTGGACTCATGTCCTCACTATTGATTAGACAATAATATTGATTAGTAAATCATATTTGATGAACATATTGACGACTAGACTATTACAATGTGGTATATCCTATGCTATGTTAGCATTGAATACAGACTATCATAACAGTGAGAGTGAGACCAATAGACTCGTGGAGTGACACCAAAACATCTCATGTGTTGTTGTGTTGTGTTTGTGATGTCATCACAAGAGTTGTCCAAACATTGAGACATTCATTTGAAATGATCTTAAGTTTTATTTAAATATCATTTATTATTGCATCCAATCGTCCATAAGATCATAAGATGTCAATCCTATCCAAACTCATCGCTCAAGACTGTAATCCTCACAAATTGGATGCAAAGCGTGTGGTAGTGTTGAGCTCATCCGTCATATCGGTGTCCATTTGGGTCTTCAATGTCATCAATGCCCGCAACAAATCACACCAAATGTAATGTCATTTTATGACCATGGTCTATTATGGACCACTTTATGGTCTATTCATTCATTCATTGGTTACTTTAATCCAACAGATCCAAAGACAATGATATTACTTTCACCGATAAAGTAAGCCAGCAACTATTCATTAAACACATCTCTCATTAATCAATGGTTTCTTTAA